TAAAATTAAATCAAAATTTTTATGTAGGACAAAGTTAATAATTTTTTGTAATCTACATATCTTAAATTTAAATTTCCATCTAATATTTTACAATTTATTTTGATTTGATCAAGTTAAGCTTGAGTGTTTTTTAGTAATTATTATTTACTTATTATATTAAATTATATTAAATTATATTTGAAGTTCTTGTTGAAGATTTCATTAGCTGATATAATACACTTGATTTGTACAGGTTTGTTATGATTTTTGGATAAATTTATTAGTTCGTCTGTATATTCTTTAGTTCTTTAGTGTGTATTCGTTAAACTTATTGCTAATTTGGTTATGAGAACTGTATATATTTGCGTACATTGCATTGAAAGTTGAAATTTATTTGCACCTATTTTTTGCTATTTGTTTGGTGTTCGCATCTAGAAAATGTTTGTTTTCGTTCCGTTCTTTGTTTGCCTGAAGTTGAAAACTGGGTCGAGTTGAAAAGTTATCTACTCAAATTATATTTATATTCTATATTACACAGTATAAATATTTGTAAATACACCCATATATGTATATAATAGGTTTGGATTGAAATGGAAATAAATTGAAGCATTTCACTTTAAGTTGTATTTTCAATGAACATTGATTGCATTTATTCTTACAAAAACGTGTTGCTGCTTTAAAATAGTTTCTTTTATTTGAATATAATTAATTTTAATTTTACTCAGTACTGAAAGTATTTAATTTTATATGAAAAAAAAAAATAAAACTGCAGTCATTTCCAAATTATTATTATTTTCTTACAATTAATTAAGATTGCAATTTATTAAGCAACTTTGCTGCCTGCTTTCTATTGTTTCGGCATGAAAATGTCATAATTCATTTCATCCATTCAAAACTCTTTATTGCAAAACGCGCACATTTCGCTTGGGACTAATCTGAAAAGTTTTTCTCATCAGAAAAACGCACGTGATGTTGTTGTTTGAGCCTAGGCGCCAGTTTGTGTGTTATACGGTTGACGGTTAATGGTGATGTGTTTAAACAAAATGCCGCCGTATCTATGCTTTTATTATTATGTGTTTTTCTTGGTTTTATTGCTTCTGTTGCTGTTGCTGTTGTTGTTGTTGGTGTTGTTGTTGCTGTTGTTGTTAATATGTTCGTTTCTGTTTGACCAGCAAAGTTAAAATTTACTTCGTAACTGTTTCCGTTTGTTGGCTTTGCATTGGCTGAAGTTTTTCTTTCGTTTGTTTTTCGGTTTATGTCGGTCAATGAATTTGTTGGTGTAGGTGCCGTCGAAGTAATAGGCGATGGCGTGGATGCTGCCCACTGTTCGTCGCAGGAACAATAACCTCGTGCTGCATCACCACCTTCCAAGGCTAATGACAGAGTTTCACGCAATTTCAGTTTTTTTAACTTTTGCAATTTTTTATATGCATTAGTTTGTTGTTGTTGTTGTTGTTTCTGTTGTTGTTGCTGTGGAAGTGCTAGCGTTGAAAAGGAATAATGTTGTTGTTTTTGATGGTATAATTGTTCAAATTGTTGTTTTTGTTGGTCCGTGCAATAATTTGCAGGATTTGCAGGATTTGCTAGTTGGAGAACTTCAGTTAAACTGTAACGATTGAAGAGAAAAAATAGAAAATTATAAATATTGAAGTAGAAATTTTAAACTATTTGTAATTATTGAATATTGAATAAGCCATATGTACACTATATGATCAAATGTACTTAGGTGCATTGCTTGAATTTCAAATTTCAATATTGAGATACTAAGTTATTGTATGCTATCATAGATATAAAAAGTAAAAGTATTATATAGAAAAGGAGAGACAGAGAGAGAGAGAGAGAGTTACAGAGTCCGGAAGAGAGAGGGTTGGAATGAGAAAAAAGAGAGTAAGAGAAAATAAAAAAGTAAACGAGAAAGATGGAGAAATAGAGGAGAGAGAGAGAGTAAGATAGAGAAAAGAGAGTAAAGGAAGGAGAGAGAAAGAGAAATACAGAGAGAAGAGAGTGATTGAAGGAGAGTGAAAGAAACAGAGAAAGAATAGGAGAGACAAAGTAAGCAGAGAAAAGCTGGGAGAGGGACGGAGAAGGAAAAGGCGAGAGGAAAATAAAGAAATGAGAGTAAGGAATGAAAAGGGATGAGGAGGGCTAACGTGAAGAGTAAATATTAACCAATTCAAATATCGAATATATGTACAACATTCATAGAGAACACAAGTAGCCACGACAAAACTCTTAAACGGGCTCTGGAGAACTTATAACTATATCCAAAGTATCTTCAAAATTAAAGATATATGCAATTTAGAAAATTGTAGTGAGGAACATGGTAAGAAATTACTAAATGAATGAATTAAAATTTAAATGAAATTTTTTTAAAAAACAGAGTGTGTTTTATTCCACCTATCAGCTCTTTGAAGCTGATATGTGCATCTTGAAAATGCACATACTTTACATTTTATCTTAAGTTATGCATTCGATTTTTGCAGCACAGAGCGTAAAAGCAACGGGAGTTTTTAAATAAAACATAAGAAACCAACAATATTAAGTATATATGCAGTATAATATAACTTTTTAGTGATTCATCTCATTCCATACATTTGTGGAAGATTAATTTGGATAGGACTTTCGAGTTCTGGAGCGAATTTTTTTTATTTCAGCACACACACACACACACACAGATTGTCTCGAAATACTTTCTCCCAACTCTCCATTTTATGTTCGTAATCAGAAAAGTGGCACAAAGGGGCATGTGAGGTAAGTTCTGTGCTTGTTTCATCATATTTGTTGTACGACATGATTACCGATATTTCTCATTAATGTACTCGACAGATTCAAACTGTGACGTTTTTCAGTCTGCATAGATAGGACACGATCAATCGTCTGCGCGATCAATTAATAGAAGAAATCAACTCTTGCTCTAAATGTGAGAGTCTTTTAAGTCATTAATGACGCTGTTACAGCTATTGCTGATCTCTTGTGAATACCCGTTAATAAAATATTCTCCTGTGTATGTAAATAAATGCATTAAGCTTGACTTCAGCTTGTATTCCCTCTGAAGCAGCTAAAATACTGTTCGTTCTCGTTTTCCATTAAAAATCACATTAAAATTTATGAGTACAACTGCAACTTAAACAAATTAATGCAATTTTCATTCTTATTAACATATTTTTTGCTTTTTCAATTTTGGAGTAAATGGAGTAAATGAGTGTATAAAATAAAATTGAATGATGCAAATGTCGAAGTGGTATCGTCCTTTTAAAATCATTATTGCTATCGTTTTCATTACAAGAATAACCTTTCTTTTACATGTTTTATGCCTTTCATCGCTGGTTATTTTAAAAATCTGAATATTTTTGGGGCGGATTTTGTACTAAAAATTTTTTACCTCCAAAAATAAAGCAAATTAAAACATAACTGTTTTCATGTATTTTAGCAGTTGAATATTTCGCATCCGAAAACTGTAATTTTTCGTCTTTGCATGTAAATGAAAATTAAGTTGCATACATTTTTACAAAAACAACAAAAAAAAATAATACAATAATGTAAACAAAAACGTGTGACGTTGGCTTTAACCAGCTCTCCGGTATATTCAAAGCAACCCCAACGCCGTGAAAGCTACCTCAGCTGTGTTACATTTTACTAATTTCGCATTTTCATCCTTCCTTTCTGAGTTATTTCCTGTTTCTCTTTTGTTTTTAGGAATAAATAAATGGATTAATCATTATGTATCTCGCACTTCTATGCATTACTTCTCGTCTAAAAAGAGCTGACCGTCCAGCCATTATTTAATATTCAATGGTTTGAAGTAAAAACCGCAGCTTTTATTCTAGTAATCTGATAAGATCCCTAAGATGCTTTCTTAATAAACCACCTAACATTCACTTCAATGAAATTTAACGCATTGTTTTAAGAGAGGTTCGTGATATAAGGTTTACTTATTTTATTTTATTTTATTTTATTTTATTTTATTTTATTTTATTTTATTTTATTTTATTTTATTTTATTTTATACAATGTATAGTTAAAATAAAAATTTGTAATATTATGTACTTAGTGATAAGATTTTACAACTTATTATTAGTCTCATTGTAAGAGTAAATACAATAAATAAATGTGTTTACAAAAAAAAAATCATTGTGTACCGGCAATGGTAAGTACACCTACGATGGTTTTGCTTCATATTAAAATAGCCAAAAGCCTCGCTTAAATTTCAATAGAATGAATCCGTATCATATTTTCACTGAAACCAAATAGAATTAAGAACTATCTTCTTTTTAGTATACAACCACATGTTTTCTGTCAGTAATATGGACATCACTTTTTTTTTCTAAATGACGTAGCTCTTTGATTGTTTTTCCAGTTTTAATACATATGATTCGCTTAAATCTGATATTCGGTGTCCTACGTCACCTGCTTTCTTCCACATTTCATCAGAAACCGACAATAAGTCGTGCAATTTTTGTAACTAATTGTATAAAGTCTTCATTTTGCTATTTTAATCAAATCAGATTAGAGCTAAGGTGTTTAAGGTAAGATCACCTTACGGAATAATATAACATGTGTTACCATCTCAATAGAATAGATCTGCCTGAATTGAGAGAATATCATCTATATCCTTAAGGTTTTGATTTGGAACAGAACAAGACCACTGGAATGGAACATTCCATTTCCATCTCATGCTAAGAATTCCTTAATAAGAGACATTCTGGCCTTCATTCGACCTTATAATTTTCTGTTTGATTAGGGTCTGTTATTAGTTCAAAAAATCTGCTATGGTCGCAGTGCTCAGTTCTATTGAGAGTCTAAAACCCTATTATTTTTAAATCAATTTAATTCGAAGTGTTTAAAATCTATTTTAACCAAATAGTTCACTGTGGTTAATTGTTATTTAATCGTATTTGGATTGTTAATGTAAATGGACTTTTAAATAGAATTTCAATTGTTTAATTGTGAAAAAGTAGCCATTTTCGTTTAGTTTTTTTTTACCAAGAATTTGATCATCAAAAGACTAATAGTCAACTTTGAATTTCATGCAAAAGCAACATAAAACCATAGTGATTTGATGATTGATTTACAATTCTAGAACTTTCCATTAGAACTTCAACTATACTTGTATCTTTTGTATTGAACTTACTTGTACTAGGCTAAAAATATTCGCTTAAATATGGGTGATACCATATTCTGAGTAGTTATAAAATAATAAAAAAACTATAAATAAGTCTATTTGAATTCTATTTATGATTTGGAAATAATTGTTTATTATAAATTCCAGATAGAACCTAAGAGTCTGCTATAAGCAAATAAAGAAGAGTTTTTGGTACCCATCTTCAAATAATATGAGTTTAAAATTGAGTTCTAAAAAGATAATCACCGATTTAGAACCCAGATAAATGTCGATTGGAATTTATAGTCTAGAAGTCTAGAATTCGAGATACTTTGGTATCATGGTAATATAATTCTTAATTGCGTTTCGAATCCAACAATATAAGTTATAAGTGATATAAATAAAAATAAAAAGTATTTATTTAATCTTGTCTCATAAATCATTTTTAACGGATAACTACTTTTACTACACAAATTTAGTGGATTTCACCGCAGTGACGTCTTGATTTTTTTCTGTAATTTTCTTAGCTGCGGTTACCATTGCAGCTAGGTAATTATTCTTTAGATTACACGCAGACCAAACTTAAGTGCACACAATTTAAAATCCATTAGTAAGTTTTTTGTTTAACAAACTTTTCCGTAGAGGATACTCAGAGGATACGACAGTTTCGCGTATTTTAATTATATTTGCTCCAGTAGAAAGCAATACACTGGGAGGTAGGCAAGCAAGCAGTGAGACACGTCGAAATGCCAACTTAACAGCTGGAACAGTAAAATTTTTCAAAGCGCCTCACAGACTCCATTAATAAAGTCAGCAAACAAGCAAACGGAAACTTTTGGAATACGCAGAACTTAAGAAAGGATGCAGGATGCGAAAGGATATTGGCGAAGAAAAAGTTGCTTTGACAGTTTCAGTGTTGGCAAAGTTCGCGCCATTTTTAAATTGCATTTACAAATTTCTCAATGACTGATAGCAGCGAAATATGCAGTAGCCTTCGGTGCATGGAAGTGAGTTGAGTGGGCATAGGTAGAGTACGTTTCGAATATGTAAATTTAGTAGCTGAAAAACAAACACTTTTTTTGTACCCTTCAGATATACAATATATCCAAAAAGAATATCTTAAAATATTCCAAATATTCGCAACACTACAAACGATACATAAATTACATTGGGACCTTTTGTGACTCCTGATTGATAAAATTGATGAATGTATATAATCCGTTGACTATGACACACAAAATAAGTTCCGAAACTGAATTTATATTAGATTTAATATAAAAATAAAAATCTTGTTGACCAGTTCCATAAACCATTAGCATTAATTATGTCGTAGCATTGGTAAAGTTAAAACTATTTTTTTTTGTTTTTTATATGGAAGTATGGATTATACAGTAACTTTACGCAGTGCGCATAATAATTGTGACTTTAGTGAATAACTCTATTAAGAGGAAAAACAGTTTCTTTAAACTAAGAACAACATTCAAAGTACCATAAGTAAATGTTCGA